GTGGTGTCAGCCTAGCTCACAGCTACCTCAAACTCCTGGGCTCAAGCAATCCTCCTGCCTCAGCCTCCCAAGGCACGTACCACCATGCCCGGCTAATTTTTTCTATTTTTAGTTGTTTGGCTAATTTCTTTCTATTTTTAGTAGAGACGGGGTCTTGCTCTTGCTCAGGCTGATCTTGAACTCCTCAAGCAATCCTCCCACCTTGGCCTCCCAGATTGCTAGGATTACAGGCATGAGCCACTGCACCTGGCCAGTTTTTCATGCTTTTTGTTTTTTCTTCTTCTCCTTTAGGAATACCCATGATTCTTATATTAATTTGCTTTATGTAGTCCCATATTTATCAGAAAGATTGTTCATTCTTTGTGATTTTTTTCTATATTTTTGACTAACTGGGTTAATTTGAAAGACTTGTCTTCAAGCTCTGAAATTCTTTCTTCTGCATGGTCTAGTTTGTTATTAAAACTTTCTACTGTATTATGAAACTCCCCAAATGGCTGTTTCACTTCCATAAGCTCTGTTTATCTTTTCTTATGTTATCTATCTCTTTAGTGAACTTTTCATTCATAATTTGGTGACTTTTTGGGGGGTTCATTGTGCTGGTTTTCAACTTTGTCATCAATCCCATTGATTTTACTTTCCATCCATATTCTGAATTCCGTATCTGACATTTTAACAATTTCCTTTTGGCTGGAAGCTGTTGCTGGAGAACTATTGTGATCCTTTGGGGGTGTCAAAACAGCCTGTTTTCTCATGTTGCCAGAGTTCTTATTCTGGTTCCTTTTCACCTGAAATCTCTTCTTTTAGCTCAAGATAGATATCTTTGTGGTGCACATTTTTTCCTCCATTGGGAACTCTGTTGCTCAGTGAAGAGAGGCAGAGGTCCCTGGATGGTGCACTTGAGTCCTACTCCAGAAGATTGACCCGGCAGGAGAGGATCGGATGCACTGTGACCCTTTTATACTGCTGCTCTCCTGCATCTCCCTGTTCCCCTGCGGTTGTCACAGATGGCAGGCACACTGAAGCCTGAGTGCTCACCCTTCCCAAGTTCCCCAGTTAGTGGGCAGCATGCAGCACCCACCCATAGGATATACAGAGTGGTGGCCTACTTGTTTCCTCCCCAGCCTGACAAACATGATGAGGAGGCATCAGCAACAAATCTGAGCCCCCAGTAAATGCAGCACTCCAGAGCTGGGACACAAAAATGGCATCAGCCACAGCACCCAGGATTTGTAAGTCATCTCCCTGTGTCAGTCCAGCAGCCTGCTGCAGTGGAGGGGCCCTCCCACCACTCAGATTGCAATGTCCATGGGGGAAGTGGGAAGCCCTGGGATTCTCTCCTCTGTCCCTTCCCCATGTATGGGCGCCTTACCCATGTACCTTCAATCCTGCTGAGAAGGTTACCCATTTCCCTCTCCTTCACTTTAGGAGCCTTTGTCGCCTCTCTGTTGATTCCCAGGGCTCTCTCTTAGATAACTGATTGAAGGTGAATTGCTACTCACTGCTTTTGATCCTCTCTGTGAAAGTGGATTGTGCAGGCTGCTTCTAGTCTGCTATCTTGGCCCCCTTCTCACTGGCATTTTAAAACCATGGCTCAGCCTGCTGCATGGTGAGTGAGTTGGAAGACTGCAAGAATGGATTCATGTAGACCAGGTGGGAGGTGATTGCCAGGCAGGAGATGGTGTTAGCTAACGTGAACTATAATAGTGGTAGGATTGGAAAAAGTGAATGATGCCAAGAGATATTTAGAAGAGAAAATCAATAGGACTGGTTGCACAATTGAAAAGAAGAAGAAAGAAAATTTCAAGGATGACATCCAGATTTGTGACTTTTACAACTGAATAGTCAGTGGTGTCTGTTACCAAATCAGGTAAACCTAAAAGAGCAGATTTGGGGAGAATAGTTCTTGAATTCTTTGTTGAATGTGTTGAAGTTAAGATAATTTGTGGATATTATGGTGGGGATATCAAATAGATTGTTAAGGCTATGAGTCTGGAACTCAAAAGAGGTATTTGGACTTGAGAAATATATACACATTTGAAAGTGACTAGCATATGTCTTTAAGAGTCATTGGCATATATAGCTATAAAAAATAATGAAGACTCTCATGTACTCATATGAAAATATCTTCAAGACATATTAATAATATTTTTGTAAATAGCTAGGTAAAAAACAATGCAATTATGTTACGACTTTCATATGAAAAAGAAAAAGGAAATACATGTGTGTGTATTTGCTTCATTCACCTAAAAACATTTTTGGAAGAATTCATGAGAAACTAATCAAAGTACTTGGCCAAGTGGAGGGGGAGAGGAAGATGGAGCCTTTACATTGTATGCATTTTCATATTATTTTGATTTTGAGACACCCATTTAAAAAAAAAAAAGGCCAGGTAAAGGAGGATAAGCTAACAAAAGAGAACAGCAAGGGGCAACTGGAGAGGATAGGGAGTGTGTTGTCACCGAAGCAAAAGGGAAAGAGCACTTTAGAAAGCATGGAGCAAATAACTGTGTCAAATGTAGCTGAGAGGTTTAATAAAATATGTGCAGGGGAAAAAAGTATCCACCGCAAGTGGACCATAAAATCAGCAAGCAAAACACCAACAACCCAATAAAAATTAATAAAGAACAGAAATAGTTCACAGTAAAAGAAATACAAATAGCTTATAATGTGAGGAAATGCTCAACTCATAATGGAAAACATGCTTTTAAAGTTATTGAATTCTATTTTTACTTACATTGGCAAAGATAAGGGAAACAAACACTTATCTACTGTTGGAAGGAGTGTAAATTGGTATTACTTTTTTACGAGGCATTTTGACACGTATTAAAATAATGTACCTAGCTT